AAAGTTGGATTTTAGGAAACGAATCTGAAGGTGTTGAAAACACACGTGAAGCCGTTTCCGGTTCCCCTCGTTGACTGTCAACAAATGCAACTCTGGAACCGGCGTCCCGGGTGACGGCGAGCCGTACCTCTGTGGATGAGCAGGTGGACTTGAGTGAGGATGTCTTGCAGCGCCAAACCTTTCAACGTCTTCAGCTCCAGGATCTCTGGCGGACGCGCGAAGATGAACGTGAAAACACAAATGTCAGTCGGCAGGCCTCACTTCTGTTCAATTGTCAGTGAAAACCTGCTAACGGCCATTGCATAATTGTTTGTACCCTCACGATATCTTTGACCAAAATACGCTGTGGTGAATATTTGACGTATTCCACGTGAGGATCGCCCTGTCTTGACTTACGCTTGTAGGCGGTGCTGAAGTCTTTATTGAGCGACCAGTCGAGGATGTTGGCGATGTCCGAGCGCAGCGGCTGTCCCGTGCACGTGTACACCGTATCCTCGCTCACGCGGCCGTACGCCATGCTGGTGCTCTGCGAACACGCACACACACACACACACACACACACACACACACACACACACACACACACACACACGTAGGAGTGGAAGGAGGAAATGTCACACACACACACACACACACACACACACACGTAGGCGTCAGTCAAAACATCCAAATGGCCAACCGGAGGACAAGATGGAGGGCACCTGTAGGATGTTGAGGGATCTTCGCATGTCGCCCGACGACAAGGTGACCAACGCCTTCATTCCATCGGGAGTGACGTCGATGCTGGATATTTTAAAAAAAACAGTCTCGATAAACTCGTACATTCCTAATGACCTTCAAGTATCGCAGTCCTAATATCGGAGCATTTCAATACCGCTATCGGTGCACTCCGTTTCAAAATTCTTCCCACTGTAATGATCGGAATGTGTTTGTGAACAAAATGATTCACTCTTTCCCGAGTTCAGAATCACGACTTCGGGTTTTTCAGGGGAAGTTTTGAGGGAACTATCGAGGTCCACACTACGAAAGCGCATAGGCGGGCGAATGTGTTTGCGAAGGGTGCCACTAACCTCTCCTGCTGGATGACATGCTGCAGCCTGGGTATCATCTGATCGGGCGACAGCGGGCCGAAGCGGAAGCGCGTGCAGCGGGACTGCAGCGCCGGGATGATTTTGGACAGGTAGTTGCAGATCAGGCAGAAGCGAGTGTTCTCCGTGTACTTCTCCATCACTGACGCAACGACAACACGTTACGGACAAAGACCGCGACTCGCCAGAAAGGACGCGCTGCCAGAGGCGCTTCGGCACGAGGGCTCGCCCGGCTCACCTCGCCGCAATGCATTCTGGGCGTCCTGCGTCATGGCGTCGGCTTCGTCCAGTATCACCAACTTGAAGCCTTTCCTAAAGACGCACATTTGACAATTCAAAGAAGCCATTCTAACATTTATGGCACTTTTAAAATAGAACTACGTTTTTGAAATAGTACAAACACATTTTAAACAACAATAGATTGAGAGAGACCAGCGATGGACAACATACACCAATCATCGGGTCCACAGACGGCATTTTCTGTCAGCCAAAAAAGCAGGATTGAAGCAGTAAGTAGGAACTGCGCGTTCTCCGTCTTACTTGAAGATGGTTCTCGTGCTAGCAAAGCTCAGGACGGGCCCTCGCACCACGTCGATGCCTCGGTCGTCCGACGCGTTGAGCTGCAACACCGGCGCCAGTCAGAACACGGCCAAGCGCCAAAGGGGCCGAGAGGACGTACCTCCAGAACCATGGAGTTGAACTCTTTGCCCTTGTACAGCTGCCTGGCGCAGGCTAAAATGGTAGACGTCTTGCCGGTCCCGGGGGGCCCGTAGAATAGCAGATGTGGCAGCCGGTCCTCGCTGATGAACTTCTGGACTGCAAAATAATGTAATTGTGTGTTATTTGACCGCGTGAAGGCGTCGCTTTTCATGTCACCGGCTTTTCAACTTACTGGTAGTCAGGATGTCTTTGTGTGAGATCAGGTCGTCTAGTTTCTGCGGTCGGTATTTTTCCACCCTAGAAATACACGGACCACAAGCAGTCCAGTTTGAAATGGGATCGCTTCAACAAACTACGGATGTCTGGTACTGCTCCGCTGTCAAGCATGTCAAGTGGAGTCTCCTTTGTCTCCTCGTTTTAAATGTTACTATTTTGATGTTTAGCGCACGGCGGGATACCTGCTTCAGGAAAGATCTCAGTTCATTCTTTTTTTCTTAAAAACTGATCACAGGCTATTGCATTGTTTAGAATTAGCACGAGGACATTTTATCCCGTTTTTTTGAAGCCTTTAAAATGTCACAACGTCTTAATTTTGAACGTGTTGACACGTTTTTAACACTGCTTTAACCTTGTTGTTATTCCAACTCTTTCCGATAACATTGATATTACAAGGAAAAAAAGGAATGTACCTGGATGACGGGTCAAACGGCCGTATTGTAGCGCCAACTACCGGCAAGGAAGATTTAAGCATCATCCGATTTTTAAAATTAATTATAATA